CCCGGTGATGAATACCTTTCACGTCGAATCACAATCGAATGAAGTGAAAGTGTGGAAAGTCTAGTGTTGCGGTTAGTTTTAATTTTTCTTCTTTATCTCTGTTTTCGAAAACCTATTTTATGAAACAAGTCAATATAGTTTAGTTTGGTCCATAGCAAGGGTCCAATATTGTATAGTTGGATTGGGCTCGAAAAGAGCTTTCGAACGATATATTATGAGCCCAATTCCGATGAATAATGAGGAAGTTATGGCCAAATTACTAAACTGGGCCCAATTTGATCTTTATATGCGGCCCAATGATCTAGAGGAGGGCCTATTATGATTTATCATTCCTAATGCAATTAGGATTGATGAATAGTCTTCTAGAATCTTCTAGAAGGTTCTTTTGAATCCTAATGTCATTAGCATTGATAATTGAGTTTATGAGTTTTATTTAGAATAAAAGAAGTGTTTTAAATGAAATTACAGTTTTACCCCTCGTACGCTTAATTTTATCAAAAAATATGAAAACGTGTGAAAAAACTGCCTGCAGCGTCGCACCACAGAGGCTTGTGCGGCGACAACGTCGTGTTTTATTCTTCTTGAAACTCCGATTCTTTTTATCATATCCGGACTATTTTCATTATAAATAGCGTCCTTAGACCTCCGTTTTTAATCATCAATTCTCATCAAGAATTTCTTGATTTTCTCTCTCTCTCTTTCTAAACCAACCTTTTACAAACACAATTCCTCATACATTACCACTAGACACACCTAGGAAAATTCGAAGTTGCCTTCGCCCTAGACGTGAAAGGTTGATATTTTTGAGGGTTTGGTCCCAAATCTCTTTTTTCAATTATTTAATTTAATTGTTTGATTTTATATTTTCCTTGAAGTTACTAATGTGTGTATTTTGTTAATAGAAATAGGTACGAGGCATCCAAGTAAGTTCTTTAATTGTTTAATTAATAATATGATATAAAAATCATGTTAGGATGCTTTTCCCTAGTATCATATTTAGGGTGATTTGCTTATATCAAGTATGATTTCTGTGATGCTTCCTACTTTCTTTCCTAATAGCATGTTAGTATCATTTTAGAGTTAAAGTTTTGATTTTTATTGTTTAGTGGCATGCTAAGGTTTGTTATTAATCTTGTTAGTATCATGCCTAGGATCTTGCTATTATTATGCTTTATTTTTAACATGATTTATGATTATTATTGATTATAATTATCATTATGATTATTTTTATAATTGTTATGATTATTATTATTATTATTATGATTATTATGTTGCTTGATATATTTATTGTTATTTCTTGATCACGCCTTTTATGCATGTTTAAAGGGAATTTGTACTTGTAATCACGCTTAATAAGATAATTAATAATCTTGTTTAAGGTTAATATGATTATAATTCAAGTGATCGCCAATAATAGATTTATTTGTACATTAATATTCAACCAACATAGATAAACAGGTTTAGGGTTAACCTAATGATTGCATGTTAGTCAGAAATCGCACATGAATACGAGTAGAATAAAGTAGAGGCCTATTATTAGGGCAGGTTTAGTCTCTTTTAGGTTAGATTAGTAACTTCATCCCCGAACTTTTAGTCTTGGTTCCAGACCTATTGGAGCTAACAATCTCTTGGATCGTTAAGGGGTGTAACCTTCACCATGTGAACGGTTTACAAGTTTCTAAAACTTGTTGGCGACTCTTTTGCTCTAGCTTCCTTCCCTATGGACACCACCATGCTTAAGTGTATGATCATAATGGGCTTCAAGTTTGGGGTAATGCTTGAAATATTCCCTACAATACTTGATTGATTTTGTTGTATTGATACTATATTAAAAACTAGAATGTTAAAATTCAGTTCTTGCTTATGGATAAATTTAGGAAATTTTAGATTTTAACATCTGACAATCACTCGAAATTCCATAACATTTTTAAGAAAATTGGTTTTACCACCACTTAATAGATTCCGTAAGAGAATCCGTTATGTGGGGTCCACATTGCCACGTGTCGCTTGTTGTTTGGTCAGAAATTAAAAAAAAAAAAGCCCTACACTCCTACAACCACCCAACAGCCACCACCACCACCACATCCAAACCCTTTTGCGTAGCTTCAATCGACCGGCAACAAAACCACCCTCCTCGCCAGCCCCGACCCCCGGAACCCATCCCCTTCCCTAGCCCCGACCATCAAAGCCCATCTCCCTCCCATTCCGCCACCGTAAACCTTTGTAGTCAAAATCAAAATTCTAAAACTACCACGGAAATGGCCACGAAAACGACAAGATATGGCCAAACTCGGTCGGTTTTGGGGTTGAGTGGCCTAAACCGGCCGATTTCGGCCGTTAATTTGTGGTCGTTTTTGGGGAAGGGGGGTTGCGAAATCACGTTGGTCGGCGTTATACACTGATGGCTGCGGGTATGGTAGGGTTACGGTGGTGCTTGGGAGGAAGTGTGCCTGTGATGAGATGCGGGTGGTGGTGGTGGTTGTTGCGTGGTTGTAGGCTGTGGTGGGTGAGGTAGGAGAACAGGGATGCGGTGGTGGTGCTAGGGTGGCTGGGTAGTGTTAGGATTTTTTTTACCAACCAACAAGCGACACGCATCAGTGTGGACCCTACTTAACAGATTCATGGACGGAATCTGTTAAGTGGTGGTAAAATCAAATTTTTGAAAAATTTTATGGTGTTAAAATAAATTTTTTTTTGGGAGGTGTTAAAAACCATTTTCGAGTTACTTCCAGGTGTTAAAATCTAAAATCCATAAACTTATAATCATATAAATTTTCCTTTATGTTAATGTAGACTGAGGATTTTTTTGTTTCCACCACGAGTTTAGAATTTTTCATGAAACTAACGTATCGGGAAACCTGCTTGAATAATACTTTAGTTACTTGTCTTGAGAGAGACTAATTTTCTAAAGTTAGTGATGATGATTTGTATTGACATGCTAATAAAGTATAAAAATTCGAAAAATGTTAGTTTTCTTTCATTTTTCTAAGTGTAATCCATTTATATGATGAAATTTAAACTTATGTATTGAATCTTAATTAATATATTATTCACTCGGTTTTTTAATGACTCCGAACCCACTCTTTGGAATGTATGGAAAAGCAATTGTTAAGGGTTCATGCCATTGAGAATAGGTATGAATATTGGTATTTGCACAATGATAGCAACAAATTAACCATCCAGTGTAAGACGAGGTGTCAATGCAAAAAGAATTCCAAAAAGTTTAGGCTGCCCAAGTGTACTTGTGTAGGGGGAAGAAGATGCCATTTTAGGTTGGTTACAAGGAGGTATGTGAACTAAGATTTTTGGCAGATTAAGAATCTGAATTTGAAGCACAAGTGTATAAGGGTAAGAAGCAATCTCAATCTTATTGTCAACCTCCCTCTTCAATGAGTTGACTTCAGCCTTCATCAGCTTTTTTGTCAAGCACAAGTTGGTTGATCACATCTCTCTACCAATCTATTCCATCATCAGTATCAACCCATTCAAAACACTTGCACTCCCTAGTTTAAGTGTTAGGGTAATGGAATTTGCATGCCCTAAATTTCTTCCCTGGGTTCTCCCTTGTCAAAGATGTCAACTTTGCAAAAGGCAATCCACAATTGCATTTCTTTTGGTTTGTGGGAGAGGATTATTCCAAGACATCTTCCAACCCGTAATAACCATAAATAAATGTCAATGTAACTCATTCCATTACACAATCTATTATACACATTATACTAAACCACACATACTCATTGTGGTGGCTGCTCCCTATAATGAGGATAACCAGGGGTGGCCATGTTCCATTTTGCTTCATCCTGTAGTCCAAGATAAAGTCAGCCAAGAAACTAGGGTCATCTGTGCTCCCAACATGTATGGTATACATGTCCTTTTTATAGGGGAGAAATTAGGGGGGCCTGGGTGGGCCATGGCCACCCCCTTGGCCCAAAAAAAAAATAATTCTTAGCCCAAATTTGAAAAAAAATAAATAAAAACCCAACATTAGTCGGCTAATCAAACAACCAAAAAACAAAGAATCTTTGACTCCACTTTTTTACTCCTTAAATAATATTTTATTACTTTCCTATCAAACATCAAAAAGTGAAAGTACTTTTCTCTATATATATATATAGGCATATAGGGTAGGTATTTTTTACAATTATTAAAACAATTTTTTTACCCATTGGATACTTCACAATACTATGTATTATTTTAGTATGAAATTGATCAAAATAATATTAATTTTTCTAGGTTGAAATATGAAAAGGAAAACAATTGACTCTTATTTTTCGAAAGCAAAACCTCCTTCCGAATTAAACATTGAAGACCCATCCCCTAACGTGACTGTCGAAATGAATGTTGATGTAAATCCGGAGACCCATAATGAACAATCAACAAATCCATCTACAGTTCAACCTACATTTAATATTGGAAATACAATTTTGATGCGTGATCCAGCTCTATGTAAATCAATTGATAGTTACCCTTCAAAGGAGCAGGAAGATATTGTCAATACATACGTACATTACGGGCCTTATCAATTTCACTTATCTCAATACCCTTCTTCGGGTCCGATAGATCACCCACGTCGATTCCAATTTAATTGGTTTAAGATATTTCCTTGGCTAGAGTATTCTCCTACAACAGATGCAGCTTATTGTTTTCCATGTTTCCTTTTCTCAAAAGACCCATTAGGAAAATACGGATCAAATGCTTTTACAATTCAAGGATTCAGACATTGGAAGAAGGTTGGGGGTAAAGATTGTTCTTTGTTATCTCATATGGGGAAAGATACCAATTTAGCTCATGGATATTCAGCTTTATGTTGGGAGAATTTGAAAAAAACTAAAGGTCACATTGATCAGGCATTTGAAAAACCTAATTTACAAATGATTGAAGATAATCGTTTAAGAATAAAAACTTCAATTGAAGTGGTGCGGTGGCTTACATTTCAAAATTGTGCATTCAGAGAACATGATGAAAGCGCAAAGTAAAAAAATCAAGGAAACTTTCTAGAGATGTTAAAACTCTTAGCATCGTATGATAAAGATGTATGTAATGTTGTGATGGACAATGCCCCACAAAATGCTAAATATACATCTCCTGCAATTCAAAAAGAGATTCTACAGGTATTTGCTAACAAAGTGCAAAAAGAAATTCGTGAGGAAATTAGTGATTCAAAGTGTTGTATTATTGTTGATGAATCTCGAGACATATCTAAAAGAGAACAAATGGCTATTGTTTTAAGGTTTGTCGACAAAGATGGTTATTTAAGAGAGCGGTTTTTTGAGCTAGTACATGTCAAAGATACTACCTCTAAGACTCTTAAAGAAGAAATTTCTATGGTTTTATCTAACCATGAGTTGAGCATTCAAAACCTTAGAGGACAAGGTTATGATGGTGCTAGTAATATGCGAGGAGAATGGAATGGGTTAAAGGATTTTTTCATGGAAGAATGTCGTTATGCTTACTACGTACATTGTATAGCACATTAATTACAATTAGCTCTTATTGCTGCAGCAAGGGAAGTAGCCGAGATACATGATTTTTTTAAAGATTTAATTTTTATTGTTAACACTGTTAGCTCTTCTTCTAAACGTCACGATGAGTTACAAGCTAGCTAAATAGCTGAATTGGAGAATTTGATTGAGATTGAAGAGATTGAAACAGGGAAAGGATTGTACCAAATTGGCACGTTCTAACGTCCTGGGGATACTAGATGGATCTCTCATTATAAGTCAATTTATAGTCTATTAAAAATGTACAATGCAACACGCTCAGTCCTTGAAAAATAGCCATTGATCAACGGGTATCATATTCTCAACGCGGGGATGCTGAATATGCTCTAAAAAAGTTGGTAGCATTTGATTTGGTATTTATTTTACACCTTATGGAAGATCTTATGGGATATACAGATGGTCTTTGTCGAGCTTTGCAGCATAAATCACAAGACATTTTAAATGATATGCATTTAGTCGTTGGTACAAAATCCTTGATTCAAAATTATAGAGATAACGGTTGGGAATCTCTTTTACAAAAAGTACAATCATTCTGCCTTAAACATGATACTCAAGTACTAGATATGCAAGTTGCTTATTCTGAAATAATTCGATCTCGGCGCAGCAAAGACACCATAACAGTGGAGCATCATTATCAAGTGGATGCGTTTAATGCGGTCGTAGATCAACAATTGCAAGAGCTAACTAGTCGATTTAGTGAACGAACAACAAAGCTGCTCACTTTAAGTGCGTCTTTGAGTCCTATTGATGGATATAAACAATTTAATGTGTAAAATATTTGTCTCCTTGCAGAGAAATACTATCCTGAGGACTTTTTAGAGTATGAAAAATCACATTTGAAGTATCAACTTCAACAATTTTATTGTGATGTTCCTAATCACCCGAATTTGAAGGACTTGAGTACCATTACCGATTTGTGTAGAAGTGTGGTGAATACTAGGAAATCAGTTGCTTATCCATTAGTTGATAGATTGATTCGACTTATTTTGACTCTTCCGGTTAGCACAACAACTACAGAAAGAGCTTTCTCGGCAATCAAAATTGTGAAAACTAGTCTTCGAAACAAAATGGAAGATGATTTTCTTTCAAATTACTTACTAGTGTATATCGAGAAGGAGATTGCTGGAAAATTTGAAATAAAGTCAATAATAGATGACTTTTATTCTATGAAACCTAGGAGAACTCGTGTTAAGTGATTAGTTTTTTATCTTTTTTTGTAATTCAAATTTTTACATACCTTTTATTTTCATGGTTTATGTTGAATTTTTTTTACCCAATTATATACGCATTTAAGACTTGTCAAGGTATTTTTTTACATTATCAATTAGGCCGGCCACCCCTTCAAAAAATTTCTGGTTACGCCCCTGCCTTTTTAGGTAATCTCATCATCTTGAACACATCACCATCATCTTCTAAACTCTTATACTTCCCTTTATAGATATACTAGAATATGGGGTGCAAGAGGTCAATAGATCATTCTACTGGATCATCCATGTCACGAAATTGATCTTCAAAATCTATTGCGACATCCAACAAATTACTCTTGCCTACGTCATATTCAATGTCAATAACAACACTCAAATACTTAAATCTCAAAATCACCTTATTCTCCTCCATTTTTTCCACGAGAATTGCAACAACAAATAAAAATAACAAGCTTACAGTAAGATCCAACCTACCATAAATTACATGATTAAACCCACAATTACACAAACTGAAAGCACAATCACACAAAAGTCAGCTAACAATCAATCACAGACAGTATGAGAAACCCCAATTCATATCTACTTTGGACAAGAACCCTAATTAACAATTTCTTACTAATAATTCGAGCTTTAATCAATCATCCTAAATCAGAACTATTTTGTTGTTCGAACAAGAACCCTAATGAACAAATCCCCCAATTTTCCCCAATTAAAGTGCGCAATTTAAACAGAAAAATGAGATTACCTGATTCGAATTCAAGTTCTAAATTTCTTGTTGACGAGCCTGCAATTAGAGATGGAAAATTAGTGGGAATTTGGGAGAAAATGAAGCAGAAACGACTGATTGATTTAGGGGAAGAAATTCATAAGAATAAAATCAGGGAGGAATTCATTTAGAAGGCAACATTTAGTCATTATTAGCTATTGAGTGGGCCCCACACAAGAGATTTCCATCGGATTTTCAAAATGGGTGGTAATCTAAGTATTTAGTTAATTTAAGGGGTGGTAATTTAAAATAAAAAATTAAATGGGTTGTTATTTTGAAAATGGTTACATTTTTGGGTTGTAATTTAAAATTTTCCTAAAAATTATTTAAGTTTAAATTTGAATAATTGAATTTAGGAAAACTATTATAAAAGCATTATCTCATTTAAATTAAACTTATTAGATCAGAAGAAACTAGCGCAGTCTTGTTTTAAAACTTTAATCCATTGCAATATTTTCCACACCAATCAATAGGTTACTAGATTAACCTCGTGCGATGCACGATTTTAAAATTGGAAAAGTTGCCCAAAATAATCCGACCTTTGATATCAATCTGCTCAAAATGGTCCCAAACGGTTATGCAACTTGTTGTAACAAGTTACTTGACACGTGTCGGCATGTGATTTGTCAATAAAATAAAATAAAATAAAATATATATTAAAAAAGTTAAAGTTTTTTAAAGAAAAAATTAAAAAATAAATAAAAATTAATTTCCCTCCCCGCTGCCTGCTTTCCTTGCCCCGAGCCCGCCTGACCCCCGACCATCCTTTGAACCACCAACCCCTTTTGCCAAACAAACAAGTCACACCCTCACTTCTTCTGTTCCTCACTTTCTCCTTCAACACAGCAGTAATTGTAGCCACAATCGCACAATGCCACCATTTCCGGCCACCCCAAGCATCTCTCACCCAAAGCCTCACCTCGTACCAGCCACACACCCCGACACCACAATCCAAAACCTGTCACATTACACCACACTTAACAACACTTTTAAAAAACCGCAACAAACCGCACCGCAAGAGGCGGTTTGGTGCAGTGTGGTTTGCGGTTTAACCGTATTTTATTAAATTTGTAATTATTCTTTTTAAAACAAAACTTTTATTTTATATTATAATTATTAGTTGATAATTTAAATATTAAACTGTTTTTTATTAACCTTTAATTATTTTATAGTCTAAAATTAGCTCATGTATTTTAGTTCTTTTATATAATTTTAATGAAAATATAGTATAAAAATCGCAAACCGCACACATCGCATATACAACCACCAACAACTACTAGCCATCTTGTAGACACCCAAATGCGTCTCCCCAAAACCAAACCTAGTGAAGAATACCTTTCATGTCATTTGATTATCGAACGAGGTGAAAGTGTGAAAAGTCTAGTGATGAGGATGTTTTTATTAAAATATCTCTTCTTTCTGTTTTTGAAAATATTTCTTTTCTTACCCTATTTTTGAAAAATGTGCATTCCAGTTTAGTTTGGTCCATGATATGGGTCCAATAATGGTGTAGTTGGATGGGTCTTGAAAAGACCTTTCCAACGATATATTATATGCCTTATTTGGACTTCTGGATCAAAAGATATGATAAAAACAAAATCCGCAAAAACTGTTGTCCATCGAGTTTTATTTCGATTCGAATTCAGATTCTTTTCTTATTTTTCGACCCTCTTTTTTATCTATAAATAGAGGTCATATCTCTCATTTTTCAAATTACCAACTCTCATCAAGAATTTCTTGATACACTATCTCTCTCTTTCTAAACCAACCTTTTTACAAATAAAATTCCGCATTCACAAGATCTAGACACACCTAGCATAATTCGAACTTGCCTTCGCCCTAGACGTGAAAGAAAGAGGTACGAGGCATCCAAGTAAGTGCTTTAATTGTTTCATTGATATTTTGATATAGAAATCATGCTTAGATTGTTATTTTAATTCCTAGTATCATGTTAGGATGTTTTATTGTTTCTTATTATCATGATTAGGTTAACAACTAAAAATTCCTAATATTAAGTATGATTGTTGTGATGCTTCCTATTATCTTTCTTAATATTCATGTTAGTATCATGTTAGGGTTAAAGCTTTTATTTTTATTGTTTAGTGACATGCTAGGGTTTGTTATTAATCTTATTAGTATCATGCCTAGGATCTTGCTATTAATATTATGCTTTAACATGATTGTTTTAATTATGATTATTATGATTATTATTTTGATTATTATTATGTTTCTTGATGCTTATTATTTATTATTATTGCTTGATCACACCTTTTATGCATGTTTAAAGGGAATTTGTACTTGTAATCACGTTTAATAAGATAATTAATAATCATGTTTAGGGTTAGTTTGATTATAATTCAAGTGATCGCCAATAATAGCTTTATTTGTGCATTAATATTCAACCAACATAGATTAAACAAGTTTAGGGAAAATCTATTGATGCATGTTAGTTAGAAAGCGCACATGAATACGAGAAGAATAAAGTAGAGACCTATTTTTAGGGCGAGTACTTTCTCTTTTAGATTGGATTCATACCTTCATCCCCTAACACCAGCCATGGTTCCAAGCCTATTGGAGTTAACGATCTCCTAGATCGTTAAGGGGAGTAAGCTTCACCCTGTGAACGGTTTACAAGTTCCTAAAACTTGTTGGCGACTCTTTTGCTCTTGCTTCCTTCCTTTTAGACGCCACCATGCTTAAGTGTATGACCACAGTGGGGTTCAAGTTTGGGGTAATGCTTGAAATATTCTGTACACATCTCTAATTCAAAAAAGCCTGCAATTGCAGCAACAACACCAAAAACCGCCTAGCCACTACAATTCAAACCGCAACAATCTTTCGCCATAAACGAACCTCAAGCAGCCCCAATTTCAGCCACGACTCAATTTGAAAAACCCATGGCAGCTATTTCAGCCTCCCTCACTTTTCCCCTGCCCCGATTACGGCCACCCAGACCACCCACAATAACGACAACGACAACGCGTGCTCCGATGTCACGATTTCTGCTCCGATGTCAGGGACGGTTGCTGCTCCAATCTCACGATGGCTGGGGCTGGGGGAGAAAGTTGTTGGGTGGCTGCGGTTTTTTATTTAAAAATATTTATTTTTTTATTTAAAGTTTTACACAAATTATATGGTGACACTTGCACTTTAAACCCCCCCCCCCCAAAAAAAACCTTGTTTATCATGTAACTGGTCACTTGGCTCCATTAGGAGCGGATTAGGTATAAAGGTCGGATTATTAAAAAATAATCAAAAGGTGGGATTATTTTGGGCGGATGAGGCAAAGATCGGATAATTTTGGGCAATTTTTCCTTTCAAATAAGATTTGAATTATAGACCTTTAACACGTATTGAAAGAAAATAACTTCCTCATTTTTCCCAACTAATTTCTAATAAAATATTAATATACAATTCCCGAAAGTGCATAATTTTCATATTTAATTAAGAAATTTAAATTAAATTATACTATTAACTATTGTTAACAACTCGCAAATAACTAAATAGCATAATATGTGTAGAAAACCCAAAATTTAAAATTTAAAAATTCAAATGGAATATATTTTCAATGCTATGTTAAATAGGGTAGCTTAAAAGGAAAAAAAAATATAACATTATCCTTGCATTTTGGAGGGAATAAATTAAATAAAAAAGTGACATGTATGCAATGATGACATCAACAGTTATTATTTTAGTATATACTAGATTAGTACCCGCACGTTGCACGGTGTTGATAAGTATTTTTTTCATATTTCTTTAGTACATGTTATATAAATATATATATATATATATAAGAAAACATGTACATCATTTTTTTAAATGGTTGGTTATAATTTAATGTTACATCATAGTAATATTTACTATATTATTAAAAATATATTAAAATGATGGTTATTCAAAATATATTTAATATTGCATCATCTAATAAGGTTATACATTTAGAGTGGAAGCACAACATTACAATATTGATGTCAAACACTCAAAGTTAAGTTTTAGATTTTTTCTTTTTATATATACTTGGTCCTAGTTTATAGCAAGTAAAATGAAAAAAATAAAATAAAATTGATGACATCATATATAAATTTGAAGGGAATTTTTTAATGAGAAATTGACACATAAGACATTTTAAAAACTGATGGCATCATCATGTTTTGTTTTAGTATTAGTTAATAGATATATAAATAAATTTTTTAATTTATAATTATTTTAAGACTCCTTAACACTC